GACCAGCTCTGTGAATTATCAAATTAATCATTAAATTTTACTAAAGTTAATAATTAATTAATTGAGTATTAGTCAGTATTATTGAGAATTTTGGAAGTGCAGCCATTGACAATAAGTTTTCAACATCAATCAGTCCTGTAGAGCATCTTTTTGTAAGGTCAGCATCAGTCTGCCATCAGTAAACAGCCTACAACATTTTGTTTTGAACATTATGAGTCATAGAGACAGCAGAAAATTTTTTGTTTGCCCTTCCTCAAGTTTATTTTTGAGTCTTATAAGTACGGTAGTGTTGGTGATTTGTTATTTTTTATAAAAAAATAAAAATTCAATGATTTAAGTAGACCAGTGAGTATCTTGGATGTCAGCATTCAGCATTATCATACATACATAAAAAATTGATTAATAGGTATATTTTGTGGATGAGAAAATTAAAAATGAACAGATTCTAAAAAATCTTGGGTTTACCACTATGTTATGAGCTTCACAGCAACCAAAACAGGACAACCGTGTAGCTTTGAGTGCAATATCTAACATTTAATGTTTTATCAAAGCATAACTTTATAACCTTGGCCGTGTTTAAATTCTAACCTGTGTACAACATAATGTGATTAATTGCTTAGTTTCACAGAAGTTGCACTTGCACAAAATCTGCTATGCACCAACAGACCAAGAATAAAATATGATTTTTGTGAAATTAAATTCAATAACTTTTGGTTAATTGCATCTGAGGTTTAGGTTTTTGATAGAAAAGTTTGGTTCCAATATCAATTGTCCTCCAAGAAGCGGCCATTCAATCATAAGCCTATTTTATATAAAGGATAAATACAGGTAGCAGGATGGTATAGAAAATTAATGCTGGAACATTCTACCAGGCAAGTTGCTACCCATGATTTATTGCCATAAATAAATTTAAACAGGCATTTGACAGGCATTTAAAGAGGTGTTTAAACTTTAAAGAACATTCAAGATTCAAGAAGATATTCAAAGAACATTTAAAAAGGCATTCAAAATGCAACATGCTTGCAAGATCATGGGGGAGAGGGTTCTGATTAGCAGGTTGTGATTACAGGGGACAGGTTCTGGGGACTGGGGGAGAGGGTTCTTATTAGAAGGTTCTTATTAGCAGGTACTGGGGGAGAGGGTTCTGATTAGCAGGTACTGGGGGAGAGGTTCTGATTAGCAGGTCGTGGGGGACAGGGTTCTGATTAGCAGGTACTGGGGGAGAGGGTTCTGATTAGCAGGTACTGGGGGACAGGGTTCTGATTAGCAGGTACTGAGGGAGAGGGGTTCTCATTAGCAGGTACTGGGGGAGAGGGTTCTGATTAGCAGGTACTGAGGGGGAGGGGTTCTCATTAGCAGGTACTGGGGGAGAGGGTTCTGATTAGCAGGTACTGAGGGGGAGGGGTTCTCATTAGCAGGTACTGGGGGAGAGGGTTCTGATTAGCAGGTACTGAGGGGGAGGGGTTCTCATTAGCAGGTACTGGGGGAGAGGGTTCTGATTAGCAGGTACTGAGGGGGAGGGGTTCTCATTAGCAGGTACTGGGGGAGAGGGTTCTGATTAGCAGGTACTGAGGGGGAGGGGTTCTCATTAGCAGGTACTGGGGGAGAGGGTTCTGATTAGCAGGTACTGAGGGGGAGGGGTTCTCATTAGCAGGTACTGGGGGAGAGGGTTCTGATTAGCAGGTACTGAGGGGGAGGGGTTCTCATTAGCAGGTACTGGGGGAGAGGGTTCTGATTAGCAGGTACTGAGGGGGAGGGGTTCTCATTAGCAGGTACTGGGGGAGAGGGTTCTGATTAGCAGGTACTGAGGGGGAGGGGTTCTCATTAGCAGGTACTGGGGGAGAGGGTTCTGATTAGCAGGTACTGAGGGGGAGGGGTTCTCATTAGCAGGTACTGGGGGAGAGGGTTCTGATTAGCAGGTACTGAGGGGGAGGGGTTCTCATTAGCAGGTACTGGGGGAGAGGGTTCTGATTAGCAGGTACTGAGGGGGAGGGGTTCTCATTAGCAGGTACTGGGGGAGAGGGTTCTGATTAGCAGGTACTGAGGGGGAGGGGTTCTCATTAGCAGGTACTGGGGGAGAGGGTTCTGATTAGCAGGTACTGAGGGGGAGGGGTTCTCATTAGCAGGTACTGGGGGAGAGGGTTCTGATTAGCAGGTACTGAGGGGGAGGGGTTCTCATTAGCAGGTACTGGGGGAGAGGGTTCTGATTAGCAGGTACTGAGGGGGAGGGGTTCTCATTAGCAGGTACTGGGGGAGAGGGTTNAGGGGCCATACTTTCAAAACTCGCTAAGTGAACGTAAGTACTCAAAGCTAGTGGTGCCCAAAGCTGGCAGCAGTACTCCAGGGGCCATACTTTCAAAACTCGCTAAGTGAACGTAAGTACTCAAAGCTAGTGGTGCCCAAAGCTGGCAGCAGTACTCCAGGGGCCATACTTTCAAAACTCGCTAAGTGAACGTAAGCACTCAGAGCTAGTGGTGTCCATAGCTGGCAGCAGTACTCCAGATTGGGAAGCCGTTACTCCACCACACTTACGCTCTGTTTTCTTGTCTATGATTGATGGATTTTGCTTGAAAGGCCGTCAATGATTGGCTGATGAACTTACGATCTCTCAACTCTTTTTGAAAGTATAGGCCCGGGTCATTAGGTTAAAAAAAGTCGAGCGACACGGTTGCGACCGGCGGGACTATTTAAGCCGCACGGTCCAGTTCTGCTGCTGTGCCTATACTTTAAAAAAAAAGTTAAGAAGAGATCGTAAGTTTATCAGCCAATCATTGACGGCCTTTCAAGCAAAATCCACCAATCATAGACAAGAAAATAGAGCGTAAGTGTGGTGGAGTTACGGCTTCCCATTCTGGAGTACTGCTGCCAGCTTTGGGCACCACTAGCTTTGAGTACTTACGTTCGCTTAGCGAGTTTTGAAAGTAAGGCCCCAGGTGTCCAGTCCGTTGACCTCAGGTCCCCCGACAGGAATTTAATCAATTTAATTAATTTCCGTTAATTCCTATAACGAACGAGATATTTAATATAATTAGTCTCGAGATAGATATTTAATAAATAACGAGACTCTCCTCTGCTAAATAGTCGGCTGGATTTTGAATTGCTGAGTTGCTTAGCTTCATGTGGCGTATTTTCAATATGAAATCGCAATATTGGCAATAATATTGGCTGTTAAGACGTATGTTTAATAATTCTCCAGCGTTGAAAAAACATTAATGTGCTCTACAGTTTTTACACGGCCGCGGATCGCCGCAGTATGGAAACAACTTTAGACGGAGAGCAAAATGTCAAAATCTCTACCAAGCGAACCACCGATCGAGTTTCTGCTAGTTAAAGTGAACCACCGATCGAGTTTCTGCTAGTTAAAGTGAACCACCGATCGAGTTTCTGCTAGTTAAAGTGAACCACCGATCGAGTTTCTGCTAGTTAAAGTGAACCACCGATCGAGTTTCTGCTAGTTAAAGTGAACCACCGATCGAGTTTCTGCTAGTTAAAGTGTGGAATACCTTACCTACGAAGCAATAATGAAACCGATCAAAAAAAAGCCAAAAAACAGCATTTCCATCAAATCAAGACACAAACGCTACAGAGGAACAAAAAAGCGGAATCGCACACGGCAGGAACGTCGAAAATTTCAGGCGTTTGCGAAGAAGTAAATTGGGTTAGCCGACGGCATTAGAGGCTTGCCTTGTATTGACGTACACTTATTTTTCTCAGTGTACAACCAGCCTTATTATTGACTGACGTACACTCACAAACATCCATGAGTCACATTGTCCAAAAAGTGACACATTTCCACGTCCCCAGGACGACCGTAGCACTGATCACTGCTTATGGCTGGTTAAACTGCGTCAGGATGACCCACACAAGAGCGCGACGTGAATCACTGCAGTTTGGACAAATTCTCACTGATTTTCTTGAGTGTAGCGCATACCTTGTAGGTGGAAGTCACTGCTAAAGTGACTAACTGCTAGTTAGAGTGTAGAATACCTTACCTACGAAGCAATAGTGAAGCCTATCTACGAGATTACCCGATTAGTTATCACCAAGCCAAGAAACTGCTAGCAAATTACCGCCCAGATACAGTTTGTTATTGAAGCAAACGATCTGCGAAGAAGAAATCACGTAGAATTTCTTTTTCACGTAGAAGAAGAAATCACGTAGAATTTCTTCACATAGAAGAAGAAATCACGTAGAATTTCTTTTTCACGTAGAAGAAGAAATCACGTAGAATTTCTTTATCACGTAGAAGAAGAAATCACGTAGAATTTCTTCACATAGAAGAAGAAATCACGTAGAATTTCTTTTTCACGTAGAAGAAGAAATCACGTAGAATTTCTTTATCACGTAGAAGAAGAAATCACGTAGAATTTCTTCACATAGAAGAAGAAATCACGTAGAATTTCTTTTTCACGTAGAAGAAGAAATCACGTAGAATTTCTTTATCACGTAGAAGAAGAAATCACGTAGAATTTCTTCACATAGAAGAAGAAATCACGTAGAATTTCTTTTTCACGTAGAAGAAGAAATCACGTAGAATTTCTTTATCACGTAGAAGAAGAAATCACGTAGAATTTCTTCACATAGAAGAAGAAATCACGTAGAATTTCTTTTTCACGTAGAAGAAGAAATCACGTAGAATTTCTTTATCACGTAGAAGAAGAAATCACGTAGAATTTCTTCACATAGAAGAAGAAATCACGTAGAATTTCTTTTTCACGTAGAAGAAGAAATCACGTAGAATTTCTTTATCACGTAGAAGAAGAAATCACGTAGAATTTCTTCNAGATGTGTATAAGAGACAGGGGTTACACTCACCACAGACAGCAGGTGGCGGGGTTACACTCACCACAGGCAGCAGGTGGCGGGGTTACACTCACCACAGACAGTTGGTGGCGGGGTTACACTCACCACAGACAGTTGGTGGCGGGGTTACACTCACCACAGACAGTTGGTGGCGGGGTTACACTCACCACAGACAGTTGGTGGCGGGGTTACACTCAGTGTTGCAGGAGTGCAGGCAGGTGGTGTTGAGCTGGTGCAGGCACAGGTGGTACGTCCGTCCGTCCGTGACCACCACCTGCTGCACCGCAGGCTCATGCAGCTCTGTTACGGGCCCGTAGCCTGCAACACAGCAATATTATTAATATTAATTAATTAATTGTTATACATTATTATTTATTAATTATTATGTATTAACCTGTACTTATTATGTATTAATCTGTAGTCAGTCATTACAATATTTCTATTTAATATTATATACCTATTATTATTGTTGTATATAATATATTATTATTGTTATACGTATATTATTATTATTCTGTATTTCCTTATATATTAATAAGGAATTGCACGTACAGCAATGCGTGGGTCAACCTGACACACTTCATCACCCCAGCAATATGTGGGTCAACGTGTCCAAATGTTTAGGTTAGGTTAAACATAATAAATAATAAATATACTAAATATTGTTATACATAATAGATATAATATACCGTATAGGTTAAATATTAATAAAATAACCTTCGGCTGATCCACACTTTTGCAGGGCCAACTGGGTCAGAATGACCTAGTCCCCGTTGACCCCAGGTCCTCTAGTCCCCGTTGACCCCAGGTCCTCTAGTCCCCGTTGACCCCAGGTCCTCTAGTCCCCGTTGACTCCAGGTCCACCACCCCCTCTCCCCCTCACCAAAGATGGCGGCCATGTCCCCCCACCCCCCTTCCCCCTCACCAAAGATGGCGGCCTGGGCCAGGGCCTGCGTGTGGCAGGCTATGAGGAGCTGCTGATGGAGGGCGTCTTGGGGCCGCGAGGGCGGGGCCAGGGCCTGCAGGGGGCCCGAGGGTGGGCACTGGGGGGCCTCATGCAGGCGGTGGTAGAAGACCCTCGCATGGCGACATGACTCCCCGGGCCAGTAGCCTGTGGCAAATGTGGCGACTTTAGTGACATGTGGCAGCCTGAGTGGCATGTGGCAGGCAGTAAGTATGGCAAGCAAGGTTAACTGTGGCAAAATGCGGTAAATTTTGCAACTGAATAGAAATTAAAGTGGCAGTAGTAACCTCAGTACTACTCACCAGGGTTGAGCACGAAGGGTGCGTGGGCCATGAGGTACCCGTAGGTCTCGGGATCACAGCGCCCGTCGTCCACGGGGGGCGGTGGTTCCCCGTCGTTGTCCGTTCCCGTGACTTCCCCCACACCCGCGGATGTGTCCGCGGTCTGTCCGTTTTTGTCCTCCACGGTGGGATCAAATAATCTGTCCACCACAGGTGGCAGAGGGTACCGTTCCCGCACCACCAGGAGCGGTTTACATGAGCTGCGGATAACCCGGTCACCCATGAAGGGTTCTTCTCTGTCCAGGAAAAGGTTCCTCACCCACAACTTTTTCTCACGGGTCTCTTTTGGTAGGTGCATCCACTCCCGCCGGTCAGCCCCCACGTTATCCAGTCCCCCAGCGAACCATCCCGCTACTACCCGCGGGTCATGGGCCACCCGCGCTTGTGTCGGGACCGGAAGACATGACGACAGTAGACGATGCAGTCCGTGGATGAAGTTCGCTTGGGAATCCTTGGTATCCTTTTGGGAATCCTTGCGGGATTCCTTATCCCGGAAGACCTGATGGTGATGGTGGAGTAGGATAAGTTTTTCCACCTCAGGAGCTAGACGGACAGCAGCATTTGCCGCAGCCTCAGCCACGTCGGCATAATAGTCCCGTTTAGGTCCCTCCAAGATCCTGGTCCTGGTAACGAACTTAAGGAACGGGGTACCATTAACCTGGTACTCATGGTCCCTCAGGATACAGGACCAGTACCCGTACGCCTTAGGCATGTTGTACTCGACGAGTTTCTGCTCGAAGGTTGGTAGGTTAGTGATCCTAGCGTGCCATGCCTCCTTCTGTAGGATCTCCGGGGGGGTGTCTAGGATGGGAGGGTAGTTTGGGGTGGCCACGTACTCCGCCTGGGTGGTAAGAGCCCTCACGCACACCCCTACAGGGCGTCGACATCCCTTCACCCTACCCAACGCAACTACCATACTTTACTTTAATGTATTTATTAGCTATAGATAATCAGCTCAATCAATTAATATTTATTAACTATTAAATATCGGCTTGATTACATATCTAAATGATTGAACTTAAGTCATTTCGGTTAAATTCTGGAATTCTGGAAAAAAAAAGAGGAAGAAGTTATACCTACGATGGATAGCTGACGAGATGGATCTATATTATACTTTAGTATATTTATTAGCAATAGATAATCAGCTTAATCAATTAATATATTATAAACTATTAACTATCAGTTCAATTACATATCTTAACGATTGAACTTATATCATTTCGGTTAAAGATTTTACAATTATTATTTAACCTGCAAAAAAAAAATAGAGGAAGAAGTTATACCTACAATGACTGCATGGAAAACTGAAGAGATATATTTATAACCTATTAATTACGTATATTAACTGAACTTTAATATATTTATTAGCTATAGAAAATTAGCTCAATCACACATCTGCCTGCCAACAATTGAAATTAAATCATTTTGTTAAAGATCTGATAATTCTAGCCAATATTGAGCAGCTTGGTTAGGCTTTCTTGAATTATTTTTTTTTGCAATAATAATAATGAATATTATTATTTCTTGAATTATTATTTATTTTGTTGATTTATTTAGCCTGGGACATAGGCATGCCGGAAACTGACGAGATGGAGCTAGAGGAACGGATGGGTCTAGAGTCTAGATCTATCCATTCCTCTAGACCCATGCTCTAAAGACTATAATAATAGGTCTAGACTCTAGACCTATGTATTTAAATAGGTCTATATATATATATATTATAGTCTTTAGACTATAATAATAGGTCTAGAATCTAGACCTATTATATATATTTAAATAGGTCTATATATATATTATATTCTTTAGACTATAATAATAGGTCTAGACCCTAGACCTATTAGTCTAGACTCTAGAGTCTAGACCCATGTCTCATGACATGGTCTCCTAATGAGACTATGTCTTGTATGTCTCATTCAAGTTGTGAAAATTTTGTATAGAAGTGAGCCTAATTTTCAATCACTATCATTGAAATAATTATTTTTAATGATGATTTTTTTGAATAAATTTTGCTTAAGTTTCCAAATTTGGCTACAAAAGAAATTTTTCAGTAAAAATTTATGGGTCTGATGCTGTGTAAGAGAATCTATACAGGAAATCTATCACAGAGAAATTTATTTCATATGAACAACAAACTTATTCTTTTGCAAATAAAATGTCCTTTGAAGTAAAGAAAAAAGAATCACTTTGGGTAAAAAGAATAATTTATTACCCCATTTGGGTAATAATTTTCATAAAAAGGTAAAAGTTAGGTACAAAGTATAAATTATTAATTCATTTGGGTAATAGTTATAAAAAGAAGGTAAAAGTTAAGTACAAAGTATAAATGTCTCTTTCAGTACTAGGTTTAAATCCCAGAGTGAGTAAGTATCTAATAATCTGAAGATTTTTGGCAGGATATTAGTGGCTAATTCTATTGTTTCAGAATAAATTTGCTAACATTTTCTCTCTAAATACATTTGGACGTGAATTTTTGGCAAGATTGGAGGTTGAGTCTTTGAGGCTTTTAAATTTCTTGCACTTTGAGCCTAAAAATATAATGGCATCACAATTTTCAGACTCTGGACTAGTGCAAGAAAGATTTTTTTTTTGCAATGAGGTTACACGGCAAAGAAGAATATGAGAAATATATTTTCTTTGCCATGTAAGATTTTCTTTCTCAATGAGAAAGATTTTTTGCAATGTTTTTTGGGGGGGACTTTCTTACATGTTTCTTTTGCTCGGAGCCATGGCTGTTTATTTGGAGCCGTGAGTTGCTAGAAATGCTGTCATGGAAACATGAATGCATTTTTTACAGCTAGAATTTAATTATCAATAGATTCTAATATTTAATATATTTAATAAATATTCAATTTAATATTCATGACAAGCTTTGCTTGATATATCTAATTTTACCCTAAAAATATCAACAAAAAAGTTTCACATCTATTTTAAAATAATATGCGTTTAAAAATTACTTTTTAAAGACAATAATTCTAAAGAATAAAGTGTCTCCAATGTTACACATCTACAATGAATTTCTAATTTTATTTCCGTTCATTAATAAAAACTAATTTTTTAATTTCTTTAATATTAATATATAAAAAATTTCAAATTTTAAAAATTATTTATTCTGTCAATTGATTCATGCATTGTTTTTGAATTTGCGCAAGTGTGTAAAATTTCAGATTGATTGGACAGGTAGAAATGTGTTAAATATTGATTATACGATTTGTAGCAGACAAACAAACAACAAGAAGTGAAGTTAAAGAGAAGTGTTGTAAAAAGCAAATAAGAATGTTACAATGATTTTGTTTTTGTGCCATTGTTTCATTGCTGTTTGCTGCCAGAAGTTACCCACAGACAAAAAAAATTAAATAAATAAATGAAGGCCTGAGCTAAAGGACAATTTTCTATGGCTCTTGCAAAATTTCTTTGGTTAATATAAAAAAATTGAATATTTTTTTTCCAATGGTTTTTAAAATTATTGATATAACAATAGTCTTTATTCAATCTGAAATATTAGACAGAATTATCCTAAAATCAGGGAAAAATAGATTGTTTCATGGGCACAATTTCAAGAAATCATAGCCAAAAGTATGCCTTTTAATAAATTTTCACTAATGAATCTAATCATGACTCAAGGGCCGTAGAATTGGTAAAATTGACCCAAGAATAAAGGCATTTTTTTTGCAGGTTTCTGTAGAACATTCCAGTTTTGCTTTTAACCAGCAATTTTGAGCACATTTTCTCAATTATGGAAAAAAAGGCACTATTATGCTCATCATGTCCGCGACTTCACGGACGGACAGACAAGAAAATGTGCTCTCTGTCACTCACTGCAGTCAGTGAGTGATAGAGAGTAGGATTGATCTAATTTTTCAGAAAATTCCACTCAGTTGTCAGTACTCCAGAATGGTAATTAGCAAGCCAGGTTTTCAATTTTTCCCTTTATTACAGCTTCAAAGTAAGAAATTTTCAATAAATTTTCACATTTGGAATCTTGTTGCCTGGTCATGCACAGCATGCTCTTCATTCTTAACAATTAACAATCTAAAATCATGTACTCTTATAAACAATTACTGAATGGACAAGAGATTATTCATCTAGCGCTAGCCAGGCATGGATTATTTCTACTTGGCAAGCCGCGACTGGATTTTTTGAGCCGTGGCTTCATGGGTTTGCCAGCTGTTAATCCATTTCTAGGAGCTGTAACAGAGTTAATCCGCATGTTAATCCATTTCTAGGCCGCATAGTGGCAGAGAGTTTTTTCAGACTCTCCGATTTTAACTCCTATAAGTAGACCAGCAAAGTATCATGGATACCAGCATTAGCATACATAAAATATTAGTTTCAATCTTGAGTATGGTAAATGAGATTAATAAAAATAAACTGATTCTAAAAAATCACTGGTTTGTCACTGTGCTTTGCCGTGAATTCTATATCTTGGCTGTGAAAAGCCATTTACAAGCCACAAACTTATTACTTACAAAGTCCCATGCATGTCCCATGCACATCTCTAATTTTACCCTAACAGTCACTAACATTTGTCTTCACTTAAGTGGCAACTGAACAAGTGATAATGCAGTCTGACCACTCTGACGTTACTGCAACTACACGATCTTCAAGAAACGTTTTGGGTTGACTTGTTATTACATTCTGCATTTTACTATGGCAGGAGGCAGGAGCATTGAAGTATATATACTGTGGATTGTGGAAGTTGAAAATTTTATGAAACAACCTGTTTGCAAAGCGCAAACCACAATTTTTTTAAGTCAAACAAAAATGTATGACATTGGAGCCGCAAGATTTAATACTTACTGAAATTATAAGATATTAGAGCCGCTATATTTCATAAAAAATGGGACTTTTCCAATTTCCAGCCCTGGTGCTAGTGTTAACGGGAAATATTGCAATTCCTATCATGGCAGCAGCAGGGAAGCTTTACTCTAGTTGTGGCTTGAAAGGTAGGATTGGAATTTTCCTACTTGTTTCTGAAATCTTTTTTAATATATTTAATAGAAATTTTTAATACATTTGGAATCTCATGGCCTGATTGTGCACTTTTGTTAACAATTAGATAGGAGGTAATTCATCTGGTGGAAATCTCGCAGTTCTGGAAATGGCCAGAAACCTGTAGTTGCAGGCCAGCGGCCCCAAAGGTAGACGTTTTCCACGCTCGTAATGGTTTTGAAAGGTAGATATATTTAACACCTACTTTTATATATGATAAAGCAAGCTCTGAAGCTCAGCTGTTTCACATGATGATGATGATGATGCTGATAACTGATAAGTGGGCCATAAGGCAAGCCTGATTTGGCAACTGCCAACAATCATACATCCATATTTCACACCATTAAAAAAATTTAAATTTAAGGGTTAAAATTGTGACAAGAAATTCAAGAAAGGCTTGCTGACTGAGAGAGAAACCAAACTTAGAGCAGAACATGAAATTTTGCCAGAATGCCATATTTGTGAATTATGTTATGTACAAAAATACATGACATCGAAAGTTGAAACCAGAAGATTTTAGGTTTCCAATTCAATAAAAAAGATATAGGTAGGCTAGCTTCTGCTTCAGAGTAACAAGATTTTAGAATACAAGTATGATTATATCAATTAGACATTATTCCAGACAGTCTGCCCTGCTCTGCTGAGTATTGAGTGTTTAGTCTTGAGAAATAGATCTATCATCTAGCTCAGCTGAAAATAAAATGGTTTTGTTTCAAAACATGCTGACGGCCTGACGCCGTTAACTGCTCTATCTGCTACAAAATTCTGTCTGAACTCATAGTTGTAAAAATCTAGTCACATTATGCATAATATCGATCAAAAATACAGATTGTATAATTTCATTACTAAATACAAAGCTGCTAATTGCAAGGCAGTTTGAAATAAATTGCGGTAAATTACTCATACCACCACCGCCGGCAGCAGCCGGATCGAGGAAAATTTAATGACTTCAGATTTCATCCGCTGCAGTGGACCGAACAGAATAAATTTGTTAATGTAATTAATTATGTTGAAGGTTTGGAATAATTTAAATTGAAATATAATGATGCATTTATTAATGAGCTCGAATTTGCAAAAAAAACATATATTACCTTTCACTATGAGGCAGACAGCAAATAAATTTTTCTTCACTGCTCATTTCCATGCCGATATCTTGTTCGAAATGCAGACTGCGGTGCATGAAGCTCATCAAGCTTAATCTTGAAATTAAACATTTTGATATTTTAATGCAAAAATCCAAGCTATACATCTAAATCATACGGAACAATTGAAAATCATGCGGGAACAGAATCGGTTTACCATCGCAAAAATGGAAATCGAATTCAGGTTACAATTTATTTATGTTCATGAAGAAATGCGAGTGTACTCTTTAAAAAATTCAGTAATAATACTTTTTGATATTATTTATGAAAATTCTGTTCTTAATTTCGTGTAGTATTGGTGGCAATTATAACAATTTATAACATAACAAATAGCCGGTCAAACGACACGATTTTAGATCTTCTACGAACAAGTCACGAAAAGTTCAAGATTCGGCGATAGGCCACATCAGGCCTACTCTTTAGCGCCGACATCACTATGTTTTTTTCAATGAATTTAAATTTTCATGTTTTTTTAATGAAGTTTCGCTCGGGATTGCGGTCTTAGTTCTCACCAATTTAAATTACCTACAAGCGGAGTGCAAATTTCGACGCTTCAGGACAAACTTATTGAATTTAAAGAAATATTGAGTACAAATTTCTGCTTTTTACCTGCCTCGATCAAAAAATAACGACCGCTCATATGTCGGACCGGTCTCGCATCATTCGGGCATCTCTGCTATAGTTTGCCGTTCGATTCTCCTCCAATGGCTCTTGCTTTGATAATAAATTACACAAGTTACATATATGTCATTCCAACAAAATTTTATGTTATGCCCTAAGTTGACTAAGTTGACGCTCCGAGTATGAACATCTTCAAAAACAGACTAGACGAAGCTATGCACAGAGCTGGGCAGCGCTACTTTGATATGTAGCGGGCGCTACCGCTAAGGCTACATTGCTTTAAATGTAGCGCCGCTACCGCTACAGCTACGGAAAATGTAGTGACCGCTACATGTAGCTCGCTACTGTCCACCTTTGGCTATGCAGGAGCATATGTTCAGTCTTAAAATGCCTATAGCACCTTACGGATTACGGACCAGGCAATAAGTCCAGATGAAGCTATGCAGGAGCATATGTTCAGTCTTAAAATGCCTAGCAAATTACGGACCAGGCAATAAGTCCAGCAGCTATCTCAATCAATCGTCAGTTATGGAAAGATCAGGTTCCAAAGGCCGGATCCCTTGTGAATCAAGTCACGAAAAGTTCAAGAATCGGCAACAGGCCATGGGCCTATGTCTTCAACGCCGACACTTCTATTCTATATTTATTAAAGTTTATTAGAAAGTTTATTATTAATAAACTTAAATTAAAGTTTATTATTCTATATTTATTAAAGTTAAAGCAGCATAGTATATTCTATATTCTATTCTTCAGCGCCGACACTTCTATTCTATTGTTCTATTCTATATATACGTTAGTACAAGAATCGGCAACAGGCCATGGGCCCATTTCTTCAACGCCGACACTTCTATTCTATATTCTATTCTATCATTGTGAAAATGCTGCATATTCATGTATGTGAAAATTGAAATTGTGGAAATCCATGTATTTCTGTCCAGTTGTAAATAAAGATTGATTCTCTTTTTCAATCATTTGTAGAGTATTGACTTAGAGCTTATGATTTATTTTTCATGCTTTGCGAATTATGCATAAAAAATAAATTTATATACATAAAATGGGGTGACTTGGACCATTTTTAGCACCTACATTTCTTGTAGGTGCTAAAAATGTAAAAAATTGTAGATTCTAAAGGAGTGTCGGCCTATTTCTTCAGTGCCGACACTCCTATTCTATATTCTATTCTAAATTTAGTTTCCTTTTCTTTTCCTAATTTCATCTATAAATTTTTTTCATATATGTATAATCGAACGAAGTGCCCGGGCGACAAATGAACTTCCATTTTATAAGCATGGAATGGAAGATTTTTCTTGTTCAAAATGAACTATAGGGTGGCCCAGTGGTGGGCAGGGTGGCCCAGTGGTTACAGTTCAGAGTGCCAGGATTGTAGCAGTGAGTTGCGGGTTCGATCCCAGCTCTGTGCGCCAGTTTCTGGTCAGAATCGGCGAGGAGGCCGGGCGGTTAAGTACAGCAGAATTGTAGCAGTGAGTTGTGAGTTCGAGACTGCAACAAGCTGTGGATGTTCTGCGATGTTAAAAATCGGCAACAGGCCTACGGCCTAATAAACGCTGAAACTGCTATCATTATTATTATTATTATTATCGTTTTTCATCAATAATAAATAAACGTTTTTCATCAATGACAATAATTATATGTTGTTAGTCCGGCAGCTTTCAGTATGGTTGATATCTTCAACAACTTTACTCGAAAAATTAAGATAAATATTTTTATTTTTACCAAAATTCCCCTGTTAACTTGTTTCTGTGAATAATTTATTTAAGGATACAAAAAAACGTTTAAGTTAGCATATATATTAAGCGTTTGGCAGCGTTATTTATTATATAATGTTTTTATTCATTATATTATATATATTATAACGTTATTATATATTATAAAGCTATTGCTATATATGGCGGTGTTATACCGCTGTCTCTTATACACATCTAGATGTGTATAAGAGACAGCCCCTACAGGGCGTCGACATCCCTTCACCCTACCCAACGCAACTACCATACTTTACTTTAATGTATTTATTAGCTATAGATAATCAGCTCAATCAATTAATATTTATTAACTATTAAATATCGGCTTGATTACATATCTAAATGATTGAACTTAAGTCATTTCGGTTAAATTCTGGAATTCTGGAAAAAAAAAGAGGAAGAAGTTATACCTACGATGGATAGCTGACGAGATGGATCTATATTATACTTTAGTATATTTATTAGCAATAGATAATCAGCTTAATCAATTAATATATTATAAACTATTACCTATCAGTTCAATTACATATCTTAACGATNGGGGTTAAGAGGGGGGTTCAGAAGAAGGGGGTTAATAGGAGCGTCTATACCAACATAAACTTTTTTATTTACGGACGGATCATTTTGAAACTTGGTACACATGCGTAAAACAGAAATCTAAAACTTTTTTATTCATGTAAATTTTTTGAAAACGATGAAAGAAAACGTGAAATTCAAAGAAAACTGAAAAAGAGGGGTAGTGTAAAAATTACATCATTCAATAAAGTAGCTGATAAATCATAGGGGAAATATATTTATAAGAGGAAGGGGTTAAGGGGGTTACGAGAGGGAAAGGGTTAAGAAGAGAAATGGGGGTTAAGAAGAGGAAGGGGGTTAAGAGCCCCCAGGAAGGGGAGTTAAGAGAGGGGTTAAGGGAGGTTAAGAGAGGGGTTAAGATAGGTTAAGAGAGGGGTTAAGGGGGGTTAAGAGAGGGGCTAAGGGGTGTTAGAGAGGGGTTATGGCATCACATCACAATAAACTAATCATACATCACATACAGGTAGTGAATTAATTGTATCTTTAATATACATTATTCATTTCGCTATTGTACCAATTAACAATAATTGTGTAACCCCATACAACCCCCAGCTCACCCATACAACCCCCAGCTCACCCATACAACCCCCAGCTCACCCCTACAA